AAAAAAAAAAAAAAAATTGATATTTTGTGTATGAAAGCATTGTAATGTTTACTGATAATCTGCCAAATTTCATTGACACATGCTTACTACTTTAAAAGTTAGAGCATGAAAACTATAACAAGCACAAAACAGTTACGAGGTCAGTCCCATGGACCGAGCCCATGTGTAATGAGTTAAGTGAATACTGAACTAAAACACTAAGTTTATTTTCATACATAACACTGTTGAGGTTATTCCCATCAAAATTATACTCATAATTCAAATTATATCCCACATCTTTACCTTGCATTTATTATAATTAAAACCTATCTGTTAGTTATTTGCCAAACTCACCAAATAATTCAAATCCTTTTGTAAAGTAGCAGCAACCAGCAATGCCCAAAACCTTTATATCATCAGCAAATTTATATAATCTCTTAACCATGCCTTCATCTATGTTACTGTTGTAAGTCAAAAAAAGAGCAAATTTCCCAACAATGAGCCTTGGGGTACTCCATTTGTGATATTAATCAAGTTTGATTGAACTCCATTTATAACAGCCCTTTATTTTTTATACAGCCCCTATTCTATCAAATGAGCCAACATCTCCCCCAAATATAATTCTTTAAACATACCCTTTATTTGGCACCTTGCTTTTGAAAATCTCATACACCAAATCCATGCTTATATTCTCATCTACACAAGACTTAACCTTTTCAAAGAATGTAAAAAGATTACTAAGGCAAAATTTTCTTCTAGTGAAACCATGCTGATTATCCAACAAAATTTTAAACTTTGTTAAATGACTTTTGCAAAGCATTTTTTTATCATACGTTCGAAAACTTCTCATCCCTGATGTAAGACTAATAGGCCTATAATTACTGGGACAATTTTTATCCAATCTGTTACCACATCCAAAACCCTTTGGAAAAAATTATCTGGCCCAGGAGTTTAATCACTCTTTAAGCTGCTCAATTTTTTTTATAAGAAACTCAGTATTATTGTGATTATCTTGTTTAACCTTGTTTCCATCTAGCAACTGTTCAGGATGAGGAATATTTCTTAAATCTTCATTAACTCTCTCAACACGGGAGCTTGGTCAATTTGACATATTTGTACTTATTTAAAATTTTTAAAGATTTAATACTTCTAACTTTCAATGCAGTGTGTATATCTTCACAAAACTTGGCAGTCTTCTAGTTAATATTACAAGTCTTTCAAACACACACACACACACAAAAAAACATTTTTTAGTGAAGTATTTTTAATAACATAAAATAAATATTTGTCCATGAATAGTTAACATCCAAAATATTTTTCATGTTAAAATTAAAGATACTTTTCCTCATCTCAAATTTCCTTTGTGAAATCATTAAAATCTACTAAATGCATTTCAAACATTCATTTTTATTCAGCAAAATGTTATAGTTTATCTGTTACTTACTTTACCATATCTCAAAATGGGATCAGTCAATTTGACCAACCTTGTAACTACCAAAAAAAATTGAAATAAACCTAAATTACCCTCTTTTAATTTCTAGAATGACTCAAATTATAACATGAAACTACATTTGTTTATCCTACGTAGCTCTAAGTTCGTAACAGTATACATCTATTTATAATTAAGTTTTATTGTCCTTTGAACTGTGTCTAACTACTATCCGTGCCATTATGAGTTGTAAATCACTCGGGGAACGTGCAGCTCACATTATGCTTATGAATTACATTACCCACGAGCTGCTCACATGTGTGCCTCATGAAACATTTTTATCATAGTATTATTATTTATTTTACCTAATATAATCTTAACAAACCTAAAAGGATCCATATTTTTACATTTTAGTTACATTTATAATTATACATAAATAATAAACATGAAAAACCAAAAATAAAATACTTAACTATCTTCTTTTTTCTTACTGTCAGTTTTTGAAGAGATTTAACTCTAATTTATTTATACTTATGATATTATTGCACATAATTATTTTTTAATTAAATAATGCACCAAAGAATACAGACTAATAACATACAAAAAGCAGACAAATTCCTTTACCTCTCATAATTTTCCTGGCTTTCTAACTATGGCACAAAAGCTATTACAAATTCATCAAAGCTAGTCGTTAACTTTCCCATGGGAATGATGTTGGTACTCTAAATGAAATTGACATCTAACTGTTCAGAACATAATGTTATACAATATGTCATTTGATAGGTGAAAACCTTGACTTTTTATTGGTTATAGGTAATATATAACAAAACATAAGAGTAAAATATCAATGAATTCTGAAAGAGAGGACGTGACAGGTGGGTGTAGCAGGAGAGCTCTGTAACCAAAGAAAATTGAAGACTATAAAAATTATGGCTTGTCTGAACAATAACGATTTTATAGAGAGTAATTTATGCTTAATTTCATACTTTTTCGAGGGACGGTGGATAAAATAGGGATGATGACATGCTAAAGGAGAATGTGTCACGTGGGTCACATTAGTGGAAATTCAGGATTTTTTTAAATATTGTCTTGTAGAATTAAGAACTTAAAACTTGTATTCTATTAAAATATGGATTATTAGCTAAGATTTTATACTATTCTAATTGGTATAACATAAACAAAAAGTAGTTTAATAAAAGGTTGAATCCAAGACACTAAAACCTTGTCATGCTCAGTAAAGGATACTTGTGATGATAGAGTTAATGATGAAAAAGTAGAATTTAATTACCCAGCCATCTCAATCATCAAAAATGAACCTTCCTCATTCATCCCTCAATGACCCTACTTCCATCATAACATTTTGTTTACCCTTAATGTATTTAAAGAAATTCTTAATATTTATTTTTACATTTCAAACCAATCTTTTTGATAGATTTTTTTTTATTTCCTAAGTTCCTGTCTAGCCAACTTCTTTAGTTTACAACAATTCTTTACACGTCCAATCAGAGCAGTCAGGTTAAACCTCTTAAGCTTATAATGGGTTTTTAAATATTATTTTTATTCCCTATATGAGCCAATTACAAAAAACATACCTATCTTGAATATAAAAAATTTATTTTAGAAGTCCAGTTGCCCAATTTACAATAGAGAAGTTTTATCTCGACACTTCAAAATTTGGCTTTTTGAAATTTGGGCAAAAATCTCATTATTTCTTATCACATTCAAACCTAATTCAGTAATATTTACTTTCACCCAGATATTCCCCATTCTCCACAAAAATCAACCATTTTCATCTTAGGAGTTAATTATAAATCTAAAATAGCATTGTTCCTAGTAAGTTCTTTAGCCAGTTGGTGAAGAAAATCATCTTTACAGTTTCTAAAAACCTGTCTCCCTCATAATTTGACTTCAACATTTCCCAATCATAATTATAATTTCATTAACACCCAAATTCTTTTCTCACTGTGGAGTTTCTCATTAATTTCAGTCCGTAACAAATTCCAACTAAAAGCCTTCTCCTCTTGTAAGTTATAATCACTAATAAAAACCCAAATAGATTCAATCTCATTGCTACTTATTAGCTTTGATATCCTCAACTTAAACAGGATGTAACTCATGTTTTATATATAAAGCCAATCATCCTGCATTTCAGACATCCCCATCACCAAAACTGTATACATTTCTAATCAGTGCTCTAAAGCCATCTATTTATTTTACTTCTAGCCTTACAATAAAAAGTTCAGCCCATCATTAAAACTACTTTTGTAGTTTGTTCCTACACTATAATTTTCTCTACATATTATTTTTACTTCATTATTAAGACCCTCACCATTGTATAGTCCTAGTTTAAATCTTCCTTCACATTTGAGTTAATAGTCCTTGTATACAAGCAAGACCCTACTCTATTCAAGTATAAACCATCCATTCCAAAAAGCTCCCTTCCCCCATTGATCTGCTCTCACAAATCCAACTTGTTTGTTCTTGCATGTTAATCTAAGCTTAGCATTCAGCCCTAATGACCTACTTATAATTTCATCCTCAGAATTAAGAAGTAAGTTATTATGTCACTTGTCCAGTGTTTATGAACAGTGTTACATTACTCATCTTTAAATATTAATACACTGTTTCCAGAATTACCTGATGTGCATTATATTACTACTAGTACTAGTTAGTCAAGGCTTTTGTGGACAATCTGGTTATCACACTTACTCAGTTACTGTAACAAAACAAGATCATCACATGAACATGAGGAGTTTCTTTACAATCATAAATCTAGATATAGTACCTTCCAACTGTAACAGTGTAAAAGATGAGTCAGATTTTTTTAATACTATTAGCCTAAACATATGTTATAAATCCAAACATTTCTTTCCACTTTCCTACTTCAGGTTTTGTTAATTTCTAAATGTAATAGAACTTAAGGTTAGTATTACCACCAGGATGCAAAAGTTATAATTATCTTTCACAAGTTACAACTTAGAAATGTTAAAGACTAAACATATATGATACACCCACTTTCTTAGTATAAATTAATATCAACATTATTTATTATGTGGAACATACACAATTACCTGTAAATTAAACTTTTAAAGTAAACAAATCTTCTGAATAATGCAATTCTTAGTTACTGAATTAGACTGAGACTAATTCACAAAAATCACAACGAGAATGATATAGTCAACTTTTCGTTAAATTTTTACAATTTGTATACTGTGCCCTATTAGTTCTAGTAACATATTACAATACCAGAGAACCAGAGTACATGCTTTAAATATTAATGCTATACATAGTGTAGTTAGGCCTAGCTGAAATACCTTTATTTTCTTCATCAATTTTAAGAGCTTCAGAAATGAATTCAAAGGCTTTACGATGGTGATACTTCTGCTTTGTAAGTAAATTTGTATTCATAGAAATTTTCATTTGTCTTCCATTATCCATTATTGCACCACTGTCTGTTTGAACTTCTTCAGAGTCGGGCTGCTCTCTGGCTGGAATATTTAGTAAAAATTGCCTGGACCATACGACACTGGCAAGAAGACGTAAAAAACGAAACAAGCAGTAACATAAAACATAAAAATAATACGCTAGACCTCGCAATACATTAAAAAGAAATATTATAGGTAACGAAACCATGTATAAATTCCTTTCATGCATAGAACACGATTTTCTTTCGTGGTCTGAAATTTGACTTTCTTCTGCTTCTCCACCGGTGGAATTTGAATTACCCTGACGTAACATCTATCCTCCATTCCTCCAAACAAACTAACTTCATACTGTGTCGTTAACCGTGCACTTGTCTAAACTCAATGACGTAATAGCTCGTGCGATTAATATGAGAGTAAGTATAATTATAAACCGATTCAATTTCATAAATTCAAGGTGTAAAAATGCAAAGTAAAATAATTTACTATAAATGAAAGGATATATTATTTAAGTCGAACCAGAGTTTCAACTCAAATAATTTATAACCTTCTAGAGACACGAAATGTGAAGCTTCTGAACAGGGATTCAGGTTTAAATAGTTTAATAAATTAAATAATAGTTTGAACAATCGCTAAGTTTTAAAGAATGATGACGTTTCGAGCTAGCGCTCTTCGTCAGATCGTACAGAATACAACAACAATCAATTATTTAATTTTGATATTTTCCTCGCCTATGCGGATTTAACTATATTGTCAGTGGTTTGTTTGTTTTGTTGAATTTCGCGCAAAGCTACACGAGGGCTATCTGCGCTAGCCGTCCCTAATTAAGTATAGTAAGAGGAGAGGGAAGGCAACTAGTCATCATCACCCACCGCCAACTCCTGGGCTACTCTTTTACCAACGAATAGTGGGATTGATCGTCACATTATAACGCCCCCACGGCTGAAAAGGCGAGCATGTTCGGTGTGACGGGGATTAGAACCCGCGACCCTCAGACTGCGAGTCGAGCGCCCTAACCACCTAGCCATGCCGGGCGGTTGTCACTGGTAATCTGATGAAGGGTTGTTGCCCGAAACGTCGTTTTCTTGTTTTATCAATAAAGTTATTTTAATGTGGTGAATTTTTACCACTGTTTTATATTCTATCTTGCATTTTGTTATTTCCTAAATAAACTTACATATTTTCAAACCCTAGAGGAAGTAGTTCCACTAAGTGACATATGGCACTGAAATAAGTGAGTCGTTAATTTAGATATTAGGAAACCTGCAATAAAGATCAAAGGCAGCCAGAAAGAGAAGTGGCTTTAAGAGATTGAATAACAAACAGCATTAGTCATACAGGATACAAGGCCGAAAGGCACATGATTTCCGTCAAACAGGAAAATCAACGAAAAAGAAAAGTGAAATTGGGTTACAGAGTCTTTGAAGCATTAACTTCCTCAACATAAGCAGGACACAGTAGAAATAGACAATGAAGAATCTTCAGAGAAAACCTACAGAAAAGGCAATATTCTGAAACCACCTGACTGATCTTTTGTTGAGAGCAATTAAAACAAGTGTCACAACCTTTTATGACTAGAATCCAAAGTTGTTGATGCATATTGTTACGACAGCGGAATTCACGTGACGCTGGTAACACGTAACGAGTATCTAGAACGTTCGTGAAGGCTCGAGTGTTCTCCAGACGCCCCCCTCTATTTCGTATATGTAAGACCGGCGAGAAGTGGCGGCATAGATATAGATAATTGCAGACAGATAGAGATGGACAATTGAGTCAAGCGCACGGTAGTAAGAAAAATGAGTGAATAGAATCGTTGAGAATTATAGCGTATGTTTAAGTTAAAGTGACTGTGGAAATTAAGTGTATTGCAAAGTTGGGTTGAGAAAGAATAAACTAGTTTTATTTAAGAAAAGACTTGTATCGCTGAAGTTTCTCGGAAAGAAATTATACGGGAAATTAACAAACGACCAGAGACGTAACAAATTGGTGTCAGAGGGTGGGACGGAAAAAAAGAAGAAGATAGTAACCAAAAGTGGCTGTTACGTCTCCGTTCGTTAGTTAAGTTTCCGTAAATTCGTTCCGAC